ATCTTATATGTCTCAGGGTGCCCAGCTTCCTCTTCTGGTGCCTGAGCCAGCCCCAGAACCTCACCTCTGTTCACTGCCATCTGTCTCTCTAACAAACATTTATCAAACACCTGCTGTATACACACTGGGCATTCATGTCCCCAGTGAACAGTTATTGAATACCTGCTGGTACCAGGCACTATTTTAGATGCTGGAGACACAGTGGTGAGCAAAACAGACTATAATGTTCCAGCCCTTTAGGACAAACATTTTAACAGGAGAGACAATAAATAAAAAATAAGTCAGTAAAATGTAATAGTTTGTTAGACTGTGATTAGTGCCAAGAAAGAAATACATAAGGGAAAGGAAAAGGGAAGTATCAAGGGGTAAGTGGATTCAATTTTAAATAGGAAGGTGTCTTTTGAGTTCTTTAACTGAAGGACAGAAACATTCCAGGTAAAGGGAAGGACCAGTGTAAAGGCCTTGAGATGGGAGAGGGCCTGGAATATTTGAAGAACAGGAGACCAGTGTGGCTTAAGCAAAGTGAGTGAGGGGGAGAGTAGTGGGCCCTGTAGGACATGGTGAGGATTTGCTTTTGTTTTGTTTTCATTTTTTTCATTCTATTTGTAATAAGAAGTATGGACAGCCTCAGATTTGTCTCCCATTGACAACTGATGTTTATTACCATAAACCCCCAAATCAGAGTTCCACCATTCTGCCTCCTTTGCCTGAATACTCGCTTCTCCCCCAACCTGAACGCCTTCAATGCTAACGGTACCTTGATCCCTGGATACCTCTTGAGCTCCCATAGGAGGATCTGAACCATCTCTTTCCTATCCCGGGGGTGCCATGGACATCCTCATTCCTGAAACCCACTGCACTTTATGCATCTCCCTGGGTTCCCCTGCCCAGGTGGGACTGAGAGACAGTGAGTAGGTCCAGCTGCCAAGCAAATCCATCTGTCCCCCACAGGGCCTGGGGGTACGAGCCTTAAACCTGCTCTTTGGGGCCCTGGCCATCTTCCACCTGGCCTACCTGGGCTCCCTGTTTGATGTCGATGTGGATGATACCACAGAGGAGCAGGTGAGGTGGGGCCCTGGGCTGGGGATACCCAGGGATGTGCCACCTGCTCATGGGAACCATGAAGACAAAGGGGGGTGGGGAGGCTGAGACATGAGGACCTCGTGTAATATGTCTCTAGCTTGTGCAGCCAGTGCTCCTTGGTCCTTCTTTCCCGTTGTCCATCTGGTTGATTAGCACTGCTGGGTTTTTTTTATTTGGGTGAAGTATGCAAAATATGTCTATTTTACTTATAAAATTTATTTTATAGAGATGGAATGCAAAATCCAGGTTTTACTAAATTTTTCAATTAGTAATCTCATCATATTTTTTTGTTTAGGAAGAATATGCAAGGTTTCTTTCTTATTTAATTTTTTTTAGTATCTTTACTCAAGTTGAGTGTACAAACTCTAGATTCTACTTTGAAATGTACACAGTATTTTTATTTATGTGGAGTATGCATATTCCAGATTTTACTCTTTTTTAAATGAAAAACAATTTTTAATTTTTTTTTTTTTTTTTTTTATCCTCACCTGAGGACATTTTCCCACTTTTCGTTCAGATAGAGTGGGAGGGAGAGAGAGGGAGAGAGAGAGAAACATTGACGTGAAAGGGACACATCGAGTGGCTGCCACCTGCACAACCCAACCAGGGCCGGGGACAAACTGCAACTGAGGCACATTCCCTTAGCGGGAACCGAACCCGGGTCTCTCCAGACTGCAGGCCTTCGCTCTAACCGCTGAGCCAAACCGGCCAGGGCAAAACAATTTTTAAAATAGTGTTTATTCATATGGCTCTTGCAGGATCCAGGTTTTGCTTCTCGTTTAAATTTTTATTTTGAATTAAAAATAAAACTTTATTTTATATTATTTTCATCATTTAAAATAATTTGTAACTTTTATTCAGTTTGAGTGTGCAAAATATGGGTTTTCATTCTTTTTAAATAAACTTTTAGCTTATTTTAATTAAAACATTTAAAAATAGTTAATCTATATCACAAGGTTCAAAAACCAAACAGTATTCAAGATATTCAAGGGAAAGTCTTGCTCCTACCATCTACTCATTGCCCTCTTACAGGTAACCACTTTCATTCATTTTATTAAAATATCTTTCAAAAATTTAAGCATAATAAGCAAATGTAAAAATATATTTTAATTCCCTCCCCCCTGGTTTTTACCCTAAAGGTGACTCATGAATGACACTGTGTACTGCATGTTGCTTTTTTATATAATAATCCTTGAAAATCTTCCACATTAGTACACAGTGTCCTCAATCATTTTTTTCCATTGTAAGGATATGACGCAGTGTAGTTTGTCCCTTATCAGTAGACACCCAGGTGATTTCAAGTCCTTTCCTATTGCAAATTATATTACAGCAAGTAATACCCTTATACCCATGTAGATTCACACAGGTGAAGACAGAACTATAGGGTCTACTCTTGGTAGTCGAAATGGAGAAGTTACCTTTTTACCTTCCCACCAGCAATGTGTGAACATGTTTGTCACCCCACCAACAGAGTGCCTCTCAGACTTCCTGGATGTGTTTGCCAGTTTGAGAGGAGGAAGATTATGAGTGAGGCCACGCCTTTAAGAGCTATTTGGTTTTTTCCTTTACTGAGAATGGCCTACTCACCTCCTTTGCCAATTTTTGTCTTTTTAAAATATCAATTTCTAGGAGCTCTTTTGTTTTGTTTTGTTAATCCTCACCAGAGGATATTTTTCTATTGATTTTTAGATAGAGTGCAAAGGAGGGAGAGGAGAGAGAGAAACATTGATGGTGAGAGAACACTTTACATATAAGGGAGAATAGAATACAGGTCAGAGAGTGCAGAGAGTAAGGTTGTCTTATCTTGTTTTTATTTTTTATTTTTTTTTTTATCCTCACCTGAGGACATTTTTCCATTTTTTGTTCAGATAGAGTGGGAGGGAAAGAGAGGAAGAGACAGAGAAAGAAACATCTATGTGAAAGGGACACATCAAGTGGCTGCCTCCCGCATGACCCAACCAGGGCCAGGGACAAACTGCAACCAAGGTACGTGCCCTTAGCGGGAACCAAACCCAGGTCTCTCTGGACCACAGGCCCACGCTCTTATCTTGTTTTTAAAATTATTTTTAGCCCTGGCAGGTTTGGCTCAGCAGTTGGAGCATCGGCCCCGTGGTCCAGAGAGATGCGGGTTCGGTTCCCACTAAGGGCACATACCTCGGTTGCAGTTTGTCCTTGGCCCTGGTTGGGGTCATGTGGGTGGCAGCCAGTCAATGTGTCTCTCTCACATCAATGTTTCTCTCTCTCTCTCTTCCTCCCTCTCTCCCTCTCACTCTATCTGAAGATGAATGCAAAAAGTGTCCTCGGGTGAGGATAAAAAAAAATAATAGTAATAAAATGATTTTTAAAGAAGAAAACACGAAAGGGAAAAAAAAACTAAATCTGCTTACCTTTTATATGCACCCAGTCTCTTCTCTGGAGCCTCGCCTAAGATTACCATGGAGTCACAGAAATGGCCTTGAGCAAAGGATGGGTTTTCCTGAGACCTTCTTTGTTCTTGTTGAGTGGGACCATCACCTCTTTCTTTCCCACAGGGCTATGGCATGGCATACACTGTCCGCAAGTGGTCAGAGCTCAGCTGGGCCAGTCACTGGGTCACTTTTGGATGCTGGATCTTCTACCGTCTCATAGGCTGAGGCACATCTGCGGACCCTCCCAGCTCCCTCAAGACTCAAGACCCCTCCTCAGGGTGCCAACTGTTATGGAGAATGAGGGAAGGCCCTCTCTCTAATTCTTGACCCCTCTCCACCATAGCTCCAACACCCCTACACACACACACCCTATTTTCATGCCTGCTGATCCCCACCCCACCACAAGGCGGGAAGGGAGTGGTCCCTGCTGGGCCCTAGGGGTTGGGGATGCTTAGGGAAGCAGAGAAGGGGAGATCCACAGCCTTCCTAGTCCCTTTTTATATACAGTTTATTATTGTCAAATAAAAGTAAGAAATATGCAAAAGACTCTTTCTTTACTGCTCAGTGGGGAATAGAAGTGAGTGAAAAAGGGGGCGCAGCATGGATAAATTTTGGAAGCTGGAAACCATGAAGAGGGAGCAGGTTGTGACTAGTTCATGATTTACTATTGTTCATGATTGGATGATGAGCCTGAGGATGGCACTGCTTGATATGAGTGGGGCAGGGACAAATTGGACAGTTGCATGTGGAGAAGACCTGATACCAAAGGGCTGGAAAAACTGAGGGTTCCTCATTCTGATTGGTTGCTCTAACTGGGACAGAAAGAAGGAAAAGCAAGACAGAATTGTAGCTTACTAGTCCTTAGGACTGAGGGTTGTGAGTTGTAACTGGATAGGTTTGGGATGGGTCTGGATTCTGACTGATTGTGCGGTCTGGGTGTCCATTGGCTTAGAGTTGTGGACTTCTGATTGGTTCTTTAGAGCTGGCATAAGGAGATTGAGGATCTCCATGCCAATTGGCCCTCAAGGAGTTTTGATTAGTTTTTCTGATTTGAAGTCGGGAGAGGTGAGGATGAACGCTGAGGTAGAGGATGGAGGTGTGACCTGTCTTAGTATTGTTTCCTTGCTCATTCGAGCATTAAAAATAAAGGTTTTTTTCTGGAAACTTTAATTTGTCTGCTCAGAAACCAAGGGCAAAGATGAGAGGACGCAACGCAATGCTGATTCAACATCAGACGATAAGAATGACTACTCACTTCCCAAAAATGATTGACTGATAAGGGGATAGGGAAATTGAAGCCAAGGCTTGTTGCCAGTCGGCTTCGGCCGAAAACGCCTACCTACCTCCACAGTCCCTGCTTTCACCCATCTCCTGATTCTGGCTCAGCCAACAACGAAAATGGCACCACGCGGGAGGGCGGGGCAAGCGGCACACAGAGAGCTCCTATTGGTTGGAAGAGTGGCACTGGCCGCCTCCCCAACCCCTCCATTGGCCAACTCCATTAGATGAGGAACCTGTGAGGCAACGGGTCTGAACGGAGCCCACAGGCAAGCCTCAAGAAAGTCGGGACCCTGTAGGAGAGGTCGCTGCGACAGCGCCACTGAGTGAGTGCCACCCTGCCCGGCCCCACCTGGCCTGCCACTCCATCCCGTAGCTCTCCACTGCTAAATGGCTGGCCGCAGGTGCGCCTGCGCAAAACCCTTCCTCACCCACCCTGCCACCCTTCTACCCTTCCTCATCCATTCCGCCACTCTTCCACCTAACCCCCCGCGCCTGCGCCAGACCCTTACCCCTCCATCCCTCCGCCCTTCCACCCACCCCCACGCGCCTGCGTGAGACCCCTGACTACCGCGTGGTCAGACGGACACAGAGGATCCTCCTTCTCATTGGGCGGCTGGACTAGAGGGTTCTAGTTTTGATTGGTGGTCTCTGTATTTGACCCTCCTTCTCTCCTCTTTTTTTTTTTAATCCTCCACTGAGGACATTTTTGCATTTATTTTCAGATAGAGCAGGAGGGAGAAACATAAATATGAGAGAGACACATGGAGTGGTTGCCATCCACACGACCCCAACCGGCCGGAGACAAACTGCAACTGAGGTACGTGCCCTTAGCTGGGACCGAACCCAGGTCTCTCTGGACTGCAGGCTGGATGCTCTAACCGCTGAGCCAAACCGGCCAGGGCCCCCCTTTTCAGCGCCACGCGCTAGACCTGTGCTTTCCACCTTCCTATTTCTTGCAGGTAGTCGGTTTTCGCTATTGTGGGAAGCATCTGGCCTTCCACACACTGAACCTGAGGGTTGTAGTTCTAATTAGTCTTCCCTCTTCTGTCCTGCAGTTTCTAGGACTACAGAGAGGGAATAACTCTCCACTGAACGATGCAAAACTCTGACCCCTGCAATAGGACCCAACCTGGTGTCTGTGTCTCCCCCAGCAGCCTGTGACCCCTGAGGGCATGGACCGCTCCTAGTTTCTGTGTGTAACCTTACCAGGGCGTGACCAATGAGGGCTGTGACCTGGTCTCGTGCTTATTTCAGCCCACCAGAATGTGAACAATGAGGGCAAAGGACTCGTCCTGGTGTCTTCCTCCGCTGACTCTGACCCTGAGGGCAGAGAGCTAGTCTGGTTACTATGTCTACCACATCATATGGTTACCAGAGGGCTGGAACAAGCTTTCAGTCTTCCTTTGGACTTATAGTCATGATTTTAAAACAGCATATAACTAGATTTTGTTTCTAGTCCAGTTTTACAAGTCTGTTAACTGATAAATTTAGTCAATTTGCATTTCTTGTGATAATAACCATTTGGATTTGATTTTATGGTCTCATTCTGTGCTTTCTATTTGTTCAGGTTTTTCTCTTCCTTTTTTCTTCTTTCTACTTATCCACACACAGCCATCAGCCTACAAAGACATGGCCACCAATGCTAGCCCCTCGCACCCGTACTGGCCTCAGCACCTGAGACTGGACAACTATGTGCCTAATGACCTCCTAGCCTGGCATCTACTAGGTGTCCTCTTCTCTGTCTCTGGGGTCTTAGTTGTGACCACATGGCTGTTGTCAGGACGTGCTGCTGTCATTCCACTGGGGACCTGGCGGCGATTGTCCCTGTGCTGGTTTGCAGTGTGTGGGTTCATTCACATGGTGATTGAGGGCTGGTTCAGCTTCTACTATGAAGACCTTCTTGGAGACCAAGCCATCTTGTCCCAACTCTGTGAGTCCTGAGTCCTTTCATGTGCTATGGGAGGGAATTTTTCGGGAAGGGATTGGCTTAAATGTTTACCCACCTAACAACTTTTCTATTGATTTATTTAAAAATTTTATTTAACTTCTTTGTTGCGTATATATACTCACATGGATCAAAAAGCAAACCATTTAAAGAAGTATGCAGTGAAAATCTACCTTCTGTCCACCAAGTTTCCCGAATTATCACTGTTAATAATTGCTTGTTTTCTTCCAGGGTTTATTTACACATAAATTACACACAGAAGCCTCTGTTTGCTCAGTCGTAAAGAGGGATAATAGTAGTACCAAAATATATATAAGGCACTTAGAACAGTGTTTGGCAAACAGTAGGTGCCATATAATTGTTTATTATCATTATTTGGCAGACAATAGATGCTATATAACTGTTGATTATCATCATCATTTATATTTTTCCCTTTTATATAAACTAAGGTAACATGCTATATGCACTTCTGAATTTTGCTTTTTTTTTTTTTCCATTAGATCACACCTCATCAGTTCATAAAGAACTTTCTAAGCATAGATGTTACAGAATTATTTGACTTGTCTAGTATTGGTGGGCATTTCCCCCAGTCTTTTGCTGTAATAAGCAATACTCCTTTTTTGCTTCATGAATAAAGGTGCTATGAACATTGTTATACAAGTCTTTGTGTGGGGATCTGCTTTCACTTCTCTTGGATAAATATGGAGGAGTGGCTGGATTGTATGGTAGATATGTGTTTAACTTTATGAAAAACTTCCAAACTTTTCAAAAATGGCCGTACCGTTTTATATTTTCACTAGCAGTATATAAGAGTTCTACATCTTTGCTAACATTTGGTATGGTCAGGTGTTTCTTAAATTGTAGTCATTGTAGTGGATAAGATTTGGGGTTTTTTGTTGTTGTTGTTGTTGTTTTAATTTTTTTTCTTTTATTGATTTTAGAGAGAGGAAGTGAGAGGGAGAGAGAAAGTGAGAGGGAGAGAGATAGAAACATCGATGAGAGAGAACGTCAATTGGCCACCTCCTGCATGCCTCCCACTGGGGATTGTGCCCACAACCTGGGCATATGTCCTGACTGGGAATCGAACTGATGACTTCTTGGTGTATGGGTTGATGTTCAACCACTGAGCCATACCAGCCAGATGAGATTTGGGATTTTAATTTGCTTTGATTTAATGATTAATGAAAGTTTGAGTACCTTTCATCAGTGTATTGACCATTTGGAAATCTTTAGTGAAGAACCTATTCCAATCTCCTGTCTATTTTATATTATGTGATCTGCCTTTTTCTTAATGATTCTCTGCTCGCTCTTTCATTCATTCATCTGTTCACTTTTATTCTCTCTCAGTCTCTCCCTCCCTTTCTTTCTCTCTTTCTCCCTCTCTCTCTCATTGCCTACTTCATTCACTCCATCATCTATACCTGCCTCCTTTTATTCTACAGATATTTATTGAATACCAGACAATCACAGCAACATTTACTGTTCTGTCAGGTTTGCACACCTATCTTGTATACACATATTAACTCTAAAATCCGAACAGCTATCCCATTTCAGATGAGGAAAGGGAGGAGTGGAAAGGTTTTATAGCCTGCCTTTTTACATGGGCCCTCAGCTCTCACAAGTCTGAGTTCCTTTTCCTGCCTTTATTTTTCATGTGTGTCTCTTGTCTTCTTCAGGGAAAGAGTATGCCAAGGGAGACAGCCGATACATCTTGTAAGTGTTTGCCTCTGTCAAGGGAGACCTGAATTGATTTGGGGTTGTGGCGAGTTATGGCGCACTAATGGGGTTCCCTGTGGTTAGAGCACAGTGATGCCAGTGTCGCTTCATCCTTTCTCCTGCAGGAATGACAACTTCACGATATGCATGGAGACTATCACAGCTTGCATGTGGGGACCACTCAGCATTTGGGTGGTGGTTGCCTTTCTTCGCCAGCAACCTCTCCGCTTTGTCCTACAGCTCGTGGTCTCTGTGGGTGAGGAGAGGGCCCACACTGTGTGCTGGAGGGATATTCGGGGATGCACAGACATGGGGGCATCCGTGTGGGTGGGATCTCTCAGTTGTGCCCATCCAGGGCTGAGTCAGACTGAATGACAAACTCCCTGAGAATTTAGAACAGCCATGCCCTTCGCAGCATGTGTTCACAAATAAGTGTTCTCCTCCTCCTCCATCACAAAGTTTCCTGTGAAGGTTACATGAGGTGGCCCATGCTGGCAGGCCCTTGGGTCCTCTAGGCTCAGGATTTTGAGCCTCTTTCATCTGAGATTAAGTCTTCTTGTTTTCTTACAATGTTAGCTTTCTTTAGTTCTAGAAATGTGAGTCCTGGAATCCTCAACTGTCTTGAATGAAAGGATTTTGAGCTTCCATAAATTCTGGAGATATGAGCTCTCCTGGGTTCTGAAATTCTCAGCTTCCAATTTCTGGAATTCTCACTTTTCTGATTTTTCAACTTTTTGGCTATATGATTTCAGAATTCTGAGCTCTCTGAAGTTGAGAATCCTAAGTGCTGAGACCTCAAATGATGATTTGGAAAATGCCTTGGAATAGCTCCTCCTCCTCACAGGATTTCCCCATTTCCCTTCCACCTCCCACAGGTCAGATCTACGGGGATGTGCTCTACTTCCTGACAGAGTACCGTGATGGATTCAAGCATGGAGAGCTGGGCCACCCGGTCTACTTCTGGTTTTACTTTGTCTTCATGAATGCCCTATGGCTGGTGCTGCCGGGAATCCTTGTGCTCGACTCTGTGAAGCAGCTCACCCATGCCCAGAGCCTGCTGGATGCCAAAGCCACAAAAGCCAAGAGCAAGAAGAACTAATGGGTAATGGGCTGGACTTGACCACTGGCTGATGATGAACTCTCCACCTGCCAGAAGAGTCCAGTCCTTGCTCCCACAGGTTGAAAGGACAAAGCGAATTGATCTGTCAAACTCAGTCTGGTGGGTGGGCACCAAAAGGTCCAGCAACAGGGAGGAAAGGAGCTGTGTAGAGCTACTGCCAGGAGCTATTAGTACAGAAGTCCAAGAGAGCCTAGGAGGTCCACATTGGTGGCAATTTTTTACAACCAAGAAATAAAAGGTCTTGACCCTAACACAGAGATCTTTATGACCCCAAAGACACCTCTATCACTCACTCATTCCACAGACCACTATTATCTCAGCCATAGATTTCCATCCTCATCACATAGACCTTCAGTCACATAGACCTCACAAACTCCCATCACTAACCCCAGAAATTCTCATGATGGCTGATTAGATTCATGAGACATATACCTGCAATCTCTTTTAAAGAGTGATCTTCTACCCACACCCTTTGTGTTCTCTCCAGAACACACTTTCTCTCTCTTTTTTTTTTTTTTTTTCAATGGGGACAGGCTAAGAATTTCCCAAATCTTCAAGTTCTTCAGTTTACTCACCTTCTTGCCCCCTAATTAGGCACCCCATAGATAATACCCCATCACTCACCTCACAGACCCCCAATTATTCCAGAAACCTCCTTCACTGACCCCACAGACTCACCCATCACTACCTTAAAGATCCCCATCATTTAACCTAGAGACCCCACAAAACTCATCCCCACAGACCCTCTTATCACTCACCCCATATACCCCATCATTAACCCTGAAGACACCTATCATTCTCCCCACAACAGCCTTTTATTTGCCCTATAGACTGCCCATCATTTACCTCACAGACCTCATACCATGGACCCTATCACTTGCTCCAACACACATCCCATCATGTACCCAACAATCCCATGACTCACCCTACAGATCCCCCATCACCCACCCTTAAAATTTCCCATATACCCAGCCAATATAGCTCAGTGGATTGTCATCCCATGGACTGAGAGGTCCCGGTTCAATTCCCAGTCAGGGCACAGGCCCGGGTTGTGGGCTCGATGCCCATTAGGGGGTGTGCAGGAGGCAGCTAATTAATCTTACTCTCTCACATTGTTTCTCTCTCTAAAAATATCCAAAAAATTCCCCATAACTCACCTTGCAGAATTCATCATTTATCTCACATATCCCTGTCACAATTCACAGATCCCTAATTACCCGACAGATCTTCTATCACCCCACATCACTCCCCAGATTCCATCATTACCCCACAGATACCCCTCATCCTACAGACACCCCCATCATTCATCTCACAGTCTGTCATTAACCTCATAGACCTTCAGTCATAAAACAAATGGGTACTTGAGGAATGTTGAGGACGTGACAAGGAATGAGTAATAAAATTACAAATACCTGTACACTGGCTCCAGGTGACCTGTGCAGAGCAGGACTTTAGTTCCAGTCTTGGTTCTGCTTGAGCGTACAATATAACTTTTGAAAAATGCCTCACTTCTAAGGCCAAAGCCATGAGTTACTTCCTCACTTCACCTCATATCCATCACTTACCTCATCATTACTTAAGACATGCTGGCTTTCTTGCTGTTCCTCAAACATGCCAGGCATAGCCCCACCTTCCATCCATAGCACTGTCTACTCTCTGTGCCACTTACTATCCCTTTGACCTTGAGAATGTTTCTTCCTGACCTTCAGTGATCTCATCTATAAAATGCTAGTAATAGTATTATCTACCTCAAAGGGTTTTATGCAGTTTAAACGGATTAATAAATGTAGGCGCAATTTGTTCAATGGAAGAATAAATGAAAGAGCCCTGGTCGGTTTGGCTCAGTGGTTAGAGTGTCAGCCCATGGACTGAAGGGTCATGGATTCAATTCCTGGTCAAGGGCACATACCTAGGTTGCAGTTTTCATTCCCAACTGGGGCTGTGCAAGGGGCAACCAATCAATGTGTTTCTCTCACATCAGTGTTTTCTCCTTCCCTCCCTTCCACTCTATCTAAAAATCAATGAAAAAGTATCCTAGGGTGAGGATTAGAAATAAATAAATAAAAGAAAGAGTTCTCCTCAGGACCATGGTAAGGACCTCCTTTTTTATCTTGTTTCTATTATTTTTCCATCCAAGGCTCTGCACAACCAACACAGGGGCTTCTGACCACATCACAGCCACATCTAAAACCTGTGCTCCAGTGCTTTCAGGATAAACTCCAAGCTCCAGGCTGTTCGCTCATCCCACCCTATGATAACTTTAATGAAAAGGAAACTCAAACTCCTTGTTTCCATAAAAAAATCCAGCATTGCCATAAGAAATATTTTTGACTCCAGCCTGTGGAGCAAGGGAAATGTACTAATAACCCTCTTCTGGCTTTCAAAAGATTCCTCATTTATACATTCCAGAAAATAGATGTCAATTTAATATTAATACCAAGGCTGCCTGGCTGGTGTGGCTCAGTGGCTGAGCATCGACCCATGCACCAAGAGGTCACTGATTCAATTCCTGGTCAGGGCACATGCCCAGGTTGTGGGCCAAATCCCCAGTGGGGGGGCATGCAGGAGGCAACCAATCAATATTTTCGCTCATCGATGTTTCTATCTCCCTCTCCCTCTCTCTAAAAATCAATAAAAAATTTTTTTAATATTAATACCAAGGCAACAAGTTATTTTAAGATACCAAAATAGAATTGCAGTCTTTAAAAAGTTAATGTTAAGGGTAACATCCATACAACACCAACAACAGCTGAAGTCCAGGCATCCTTTATTAGAAATTACAAATGAAGATGTAATTTCACTTATTTGTGGAATACAATGAACAAAATAAACTGATGAACAAAATAGACCCAGAGACATAGAAGTAGTGTACAAACTGACAAACCTCAGAAGACGGGAGCAGGGGGGAGGGAAGAAGTAAACCAAGAACTTATATGCATGTATGCATAACCAATGGACCTAGACAACAATGCCATTGGGGGGTGGGAGCAGGATCAGGAGAAGGGTGTCAGTGGGGGGAAAAGGAGAAACATCTGTAACAAAAATAATAAATACATGTTAAGTTTATGTCTGAAAAATTTTTAAATTACATTTAAAGAAGAAAAGTAAAACAATACAAAACACACACACACACAAAAATTACATTTGCAAGAGCAGTCTGTATTTTGTCCAAACCATACAGATGTTGTGCAATAAAGTGAGAATGCCTTTTTGTATTTTCCATACATAAAGTTTCTCAGAGGTAGTTAAAGATATGTTCAGTCTTTCAGCCAATATTTAGTGGACACACACCATTTAATAACAGGACCAACCTCAATATGCTGTCCTGGAGGATTAAATAAAACAAAGTCAGCCCTGGCCTGTTTGGCTCAGCAATTACAGCACCAGCTCCTGGACCAGAGTTGCGGTTGCATTTCGGTCCAAGCCCTGGTCTGGTACTGTGGGAGGCAACCAATTGATGCATCTCACATCGATGTGTCTCTCTCATGTCAATATTTCTCTCTCTCCCTTCTTCTCTCTCTAAAATCCATAAAGAAAAAAAGCCAAACTTGAAAAAGCTAAGATCTCCAGAGAACATAAAAATGGCTTTTTTGTTAAATTATTTATTGAAGTATAACATGCAAAAAAATTACAAAAATTTAAAATTTACAGCTCCATGAATTTTCACAATGTGTAAACTATTTTTTTTAAAGATTCTGGAAAAAGGGTTATTTTTCCCGCTCAGCAGATTCATTTGAAGAGAGGGCCACAGCATTTGAAATACATGACATTCTCTGTAAGCTGAGGCACAGGCAACTTGGAGCAGGCTGGGGGGGGGTGTCTAACGTCATCGCGCAGCGGCTTCCTTTCCCCGCCCACTTTCCTCGCTAGACTAGATTATCACTTTAACACTAACTAGGTGAATCTGGAAGTAAACTGCCCAAACAACCAAATCGCGGACAAGGGGAGGTGGGACTTCAGTAGGCGCCTGCGCACTGGCTGATGTGAGGCAAAATGCCGGTCATTGGGGGGCGGGACTCCTGGCAAGAGTAGCCTATGCGCACGCGCAGGGGTGACCTCCATTTCGCCAGGTGCGGGGGGGGGCATGGAGGGTTTGCTAGGGTCGCGCAGTGCCCTCTGCGCCTGCGCCCGGGCGCAAGGTGGGGCTGCGGGCGCCCGCACTCTGGGGTGTGTGTGGGGGTAGGGGGGCAACCGTCACCCGTCACCCTAAGGTGGGTGGCGGCGGGATGGCGACGGCCTCTGGGTCTTCGGATTTGACCGGCTCCGGAGCGCCACCGCCTGGCGGGGGAGTCCAAGCGGCGGCAGCTGAGGAGGAGGAGCGAGAGGTGGTACGGGTCCGAGTCAAGGTGAGGCCCGGGACTCCCAGGGGAGGAGAAGGCGGTGGCTGTCCCCGGATGGAGGGCGGGACCTGAGATTTGCAGTGTTACCTGAGGGGCGAGGCTGGAGGGCCTAGTGATGGTGGCAGAGGGTGGAGTAGTCTGGACCTGGGAATGCAGGGGCAAGGCTGGAAGGTATAGAGACTAAAAATGGTTGGGTGGAGATTATGGTAGAGAAGAGGGGCTATAGAGGTGGAGGAGGGGCCTTAATACTTGAGGAATGGGGGTAGGGTTGCTGTCTGAAAAGGAGGCACCGAAGTCAGTTAACATATGTGTTGAGAGTGCACTTTTGTGCAAGTCCCCACCAGGTGAGGGAGACAACCAGCGAAATAAGTGAGATGCTTCAGACTCTGATAAATGACATGAGGAAATAATGAAAAAGGTTCTGAACTAGGGTGTTACTTTAGACAAGGTTATACAGGGAAATCCCAAGAGAGGTATTGAAGCAGAGACCCGAATTAAAAGGAGTCAGCATATGTCTAACCGAGGGATGAGTGTTCTAGGCAGAGGAAACAGCAAGGGCAAAGGCTTAGGAGGTGTGAGGAGCTTGGCATGTGCTCTTAGGTTTCCATATTGCTGGAGCCGAGGGAGTGAGAGGAAGAGTGGATGAAGGTGAATCAGAGAGGTGAGAGAGGGGCAGATTGTGAAAGGCCTTTGGTGTGTAGTCTGAGTAAGAAAGCCGTTGCACTAGTTCCAGCAAGCAATGATGGTGGCTCAGACTGGGGTGGTGGTACTGGTGGTGCTGAGAAGAGGGTAGATTCTGGAGAGAACCAAAGAACTACTTAAGGGTACTAGAGGAATCTCTAAAGTAGAGGTTTGGGAGTTCAGAAAAGAGATGATACCTGAGCTGTGAGTGAACCATTTAAAGAAAGTGGGAAGAACCTTTCAGACAGGGGGATCAGCACAAGCAAAGGCCTGAGCCAGGATATGTTCAAAGTAACTTACAGCACTTTGGTAGTACCAGAATGTAAAGTTCAAAAAAGTTCATAGGGAGAGGCTGGCTGAGGGCCTATAGGCCTATCTGTTGGGGACTTTTGAAGGTATTTAAGCAGGAAAGTGTTGTAACTTGATGTGCTAGATTTGTTGCAGCATGGAAGACTGATTAAATAGAGGCCAGACTGGACATGGTGATCCCCCAC